GGTCTGGGCACCCGATGCCCCCAGCATTCTACGCCGCGAACGCCGTGAGACAGGACCCCTCTGATGCCTCAGAACCTCAAGACTTGCAGACGCTAAGACAGACACGAATGCCGAAGGCCCGAAGACCATGACGCACCATAGAGTACAATCGGGCTGCGACTGCGATTGGTGCAATGACCCTGATACACAAAACCACGAGGTCCTATTGTCTTGAGACCATGGTGCAATCAATATTGGTACGTTAACACACGGGTGCCCTCACAGGTCAAGACAGTAAGACCCTGCAGCCCTACAACTGTAGGGCTCCAAGACCGAAGTCGAAATTGCCATTAGACCCTGGTCCCCCGTGACCCAGGCGCGCTACGACCCTAATTCACGAACGACATCTAACCATAAGACCAGATTGTCACTAGACACGAAGAACACACTACATGGCCCTTCTTGGTCGTGTCGAACTTCCTCTGCTACTTCGTAATCTTCTCGAGGGGCTTGAAGAGCTCCGATTGCTTGAGGCGGATGCACCTGGCCGCCTCGTCAAATCTCTGCCTGCCGCACACGATGGGCAAATTGCCGCAGAAGTGGTTCACGGCCGTCATGATGCCGCGCGTCATTGTCAAGCTGGGGTGCAAGACTGGCAGCGCGAGAAACGCGCGAGGGGCGTGCCGACACAGGTGTGCCCACATGGGCTTGGGGGGGGGGGCATGCGGGCGCAGCCACTGGGGCTTCGGTGGAGCTCCCCAATGGCCCGCGAAACGCGTGAGGGGCGTGCCGAAGCTGATGGTGGCGATTGTGACGATGACGGAGACGATGATGACGACGATGGCGGCCGCGATGATGAAGATGATGACGACGATGGTGTTGCTGATGGTGATGATGGTAATGACAATGGGGGTACGGGATGGATGATGATGCCTGTGTTGGAAAGTGACAACGATAATATGGAGGATGATGATGACGGTGATGGGAGCGGATGGGTGCTGACGGCGATGATGGCGGCGATGGGATGAGGGAGGACGGTGAGGAGGAGGAAGGAAGGAAATAAAGCCAAACATTGCGCTCTCGCAGCCTATGATGTGCAATGTATGTGATGCAATGTATATGATGCAACTTATGACATGAAAAGGTTTCCTTTGCAATCCACGTGATGAAATGCATGCGATGCAACGCGTGTAATGCAACCTATGCGTTGTTATATATATATATATGGCTGCCATGTATGCAATGCAACATACGCAGTGAAAGATATGCAGCCCGTATGTGAGAGGCAACGTATGCAATGCAACCAATGTAATGCCATCTACGCTCTGCAATCTATGTGGTGAAATGTATGCGACGCAACCAACACAATGCAATCTAAGCCGCGTCGTCGCCGTCGTCCTCGTCGTCGTCGCCGTCCTCGTCATATTCTCCCTCGTCGTCCTCCTCCTCCAGGGCCATTCCCCCCCCCTGTGCCGCGGGTCGGGGCCCTGCTGGGATCTCTGGAGGCCCATGGGGGAGGCGCCTTGAAGGGCGGGAGCCAAGAGCGCCAAAGGGGCCCCGAGGTAGGAAGAGGAGGCCCCAAGAGCACCTAAGGGGGAACCCGCCCGCGGCCGAGCGGCGAGGGGTCGGCGGCGACCAGGCGTTGACCTGCGGGGCGGGCGGCTGGCGTCGGCCTCGCGGGCAGGCGGCGGCGAGGCCCCAGGGCCGGGCGCGCAACGGAGGCCACGCAATTACCAGGGGCGAGACGGCATTACCGCCGCTTGTGCGCTGCACCAAAGCGAGAGCCCCATCCTCCTTGTGCCGCGGGTCGGGGCCCTGCAGGGATCCCTGGAGGCCCATGGGGGAGGCGCCTTGAAGGGCGGGGGCCAAGAGCGCCAAAGGGGCCCCGAGGTAGGAGGAGGAGGCCCCGAGAGCACCTAAGGGGGAACCCGCCCGCGGCCGAGCGGCGAGGGGTCGGCGGCGACCAGGCGTTGACCTTCGGGGCGGGCGGCTGGCGCAGGCCTCGGGGGCAGGCGGCGGGCGAGGCCTAGGGGTTATGGGCATGCAACAGAGGCCACTGACCATGGGCGAGGGCCCCTGGGGAGGGCCCCTTCCAACGGAAGGGACCCTCCAATGGCAGTGAGGTAGCGGCCCTTCAAGCATATCTCGGAAGGGCCGCTACCACTATCCGAATCACGTTGGCACTTCTTTGGCTTGATGCGACGGGATGCGCCCTCCATGAGGAAGGGTGCATACCATACATGCCCCCCATAACATATCACCGCGGGCGCCCGAGGGCGCCCGATGATGGCGGGTAAGCGGGCGAGGATAAGTTTACTTATGATTTGAGACGGCTGCCGACTGTGGCGGTTGTTGAGCCCATAGGCCCGCCGACGGGGAATACCCTAAGGCATAGTTCAAGCCACCGCAGGCCCCGCGGGGCCACGCGGGGCCCTCCCAGACACCCTGAACCCCAACGGGCCCATAGGAGGGAGGCCATGGGAACCAGCGCCCATCCCGACTCACCCCTCACACGGACGGTCGGCCCTGCAACCACAGACACCCTGAGCCCAAAGGGAAACCCTGGGGCCCTGGGAGGCCCAGCCTGGACCCCGAACCCTCGAGGCCTTGAGACTCCGCCTATTTCGGCTCACCCCTCGCACGGATCGCCCGCAGGGTCTGGCGGCAGAAAAACAGCCGAAGGCTTTGCATGAGGGAATTCTCTGCGAATGCGCGACATCCTCAACTCTCCAGTGCACTGCATGCACAGATGCTCCTTCTGGGACCTCATGGCGAGATCTTCGAAGCCAACGTTTCTGAATGGTTTCCTGAACGGCTGGAGCCAGCGATTCTGAATGGTTACCTGAATGGTTTCTGAACGGTTGACGCCAGCGTTTCTGAATGGCTTCCTGAATGGCTTCCTGACGCGAGACCGCTGACCACAAGAGCATCTCACGCATGAATGCGCAACCTGGAAGTGAGCTCTGAGGTGGATGAGGAGGCGGGCCGAGGAGGAGGGGGGCGACGACGACAACGACTCCCAGGGGGGAGGGGGGCAAACAAAGGGGGACGGAAGACGGAGGTCCAGGCAAGCTTTCACTCGGCAGCGTGGCGGCCACGCCAAGTCCAGGTCCAAGTCTGCAGCGACGAGGGCACGTCTGAGTGGGCCCGTGGCGGACCTCGGGCCTCGGATTATCGAGCTCGGCGGCGCCTAACAAAAACTCTCCGAAACCGAATGCCACAACTCGGGCCTCGACTCTCGGCGGATCCTCGGGCGTCGAGTTCAGCTCTACAACTCCGAACTCTTGGGATCCTCTGGCCTATCAGCGGCCACCGCAAAAAAAACTGACTGAGATTGTGAATCACAATCGTCTTGTTCCTCCTCATATTCCTGCACCCCTCCTCCTACTCCTCCTCATCATCTTCCGGCACCTCCTCATCAGTCGGCACGGCGTCTAGCTCCTCGGCCGATGGCTTACTCCGACGAGTCGCTGTCGCCCTCGGACTGCGAGGCCTGCGGGTCAGGATCGTCGCCCTCCGCGTCTGGGATCTGCGCGTCCACTTCGGCGATGCGCTTCATGTCCTTGTGCGGCTGCGCCTTGCACAGCAGGTGCTTGTCGCGGGAGGCGATGCTCACGCGGCGGCCCTTGATCTGAAGATGTTGTTTTGAATATGTAGGGTGATAATGAGCGCAATGTGCAGGGATGGGAGGGTGGGATATGACGTCAGAGTAGAAGTCGAGTTGGCGAGATGGGAATTGATGGGAGCGATGGGGTAAGACGTCAGACGTGGCGCGAGCGCACCTGGCATGCCCCATCAACCTCTTTCCCTGCGAGGTGACGGGGGCGCGGGGGGCGAGGGGTCACCTGTGAGAGTAGAGATTAGGGAGGCGGGAGGCTAGAGGTAAGACGTCAGAATCAGTGAGAGACAGACGAGGTCAGGAAGGGGCGAGCGGCGAGGTCAGGAATGCGAAGTCAGGACGAAGCGAAAGGCGACGAATGAGACTTGGGAGGTTCGAGTTCGAGGTGGGAGGCGAACGGCGACAGGTCCAAAGGTTCGAGGTGCGAGATGCGAGATGCGAGGCGGGAGGTAAGGGGTGAGAGTTGAGAGGCGAGTAAAAAACAAAACGCTGTCCACGAGCGAGCGAGCGGGCGTCGGGCCGTGCTTGACGGCAGTGATCTTCACGAGCCCTGGGATCTGCACCACCTGGCGCACCTGCAGCTCCCTCGTGCACACCTGGGTGAGAGCACTCAGCACCCTCGACACGTCGTAGTGGCTCACCTGGGACATTAAAAAGGAAACCTCGGTTCCCAGGCGATCCAGTCGAAGGGAAGGCGCCCCGTGAATCGACGG